TGCCTTCCATTTGGCCTCTGGACATAACCTACAACCAAGCCCATAGTCCCTGGGTACAATCCAAACTGAGCACCAGGAAAACCATGCCAAGTTTACAATAAACTTAGTAAGCTCTACCATTTTCTCTTGCAGTTGTCTGACATGCTCATTTCAGAAGTCAATGATTTTAATTGTTTATAAACAGGTATCATCAAGCCCATCTGGAATTCAGGGGCACAAGTTTGCTTCTAAACCCCAGGGCTCAGAAACCTAGAGCAGGATAAGCCAATCAACAGAGGGTCTCCATTTTTTTTCTTGCTGACACATTTCATTCTTATTGATTGGTATCCATCATTTATTTTACTGGTGTCCTTCCCCCCATGGGCTCTCTGTGGTTTAGGAATATTTAATCACAAAGCAAATTGCACTGACCTTCAGTAAAGTTTTATGAAGGGCCTACTGTGTGCCCAGTATTATTCTGAGCACTGGCTTTACAGTAGAAGATATACAAAAATCCCTGCCCTTGGGGAGCTTAAAGTCTAGGATGGAGATGGATAATAATCAAAATAACTAAGTAAAAAATTAGGTTGAACCATATGAAATGGCCATTTTGTACCTAAAAAAATTATCAACAGTTGACAGTTTCCTATGAGTGCTGGAATGAAGTTTGCACGTGACTAAAGGATGCGTGTTAGGGCCCAGGAACCCCTGCCCATGCTGCCGAGAAGCTGTTCTGCGCCTGACAGCAGTGGCGGGCTAGGTTGGGCTCAAACAAGTGGCTTTGCCTCCCTGCTCTGGACTTGGTGAGGGGAGGACTAAATGTGGCAGTCACCTGGGAGGGCCACCTGAATCACTAAACTTTCTGGGATTATTTAAATACCCAGAAAAATGACACGTGATTTTTTTTAAAAATATTTTTTGCTTACCTGAAGGCCCACTGTTGTTCCTTTCAGTTGGATACAGGCCTTGTGGTTTCATGGCATTAGCTATGTTTGTGACAACTATGATGAGTGCTGGGCGCAGAGGTCCACGAGGCACAGCAGAGTGGACAGAGGCAGCTTCCTCCCACTCAGAATGGGGATGAGGCACTCTCGTGTTTGTCTGGGCTGGCTGCCCGGGTGCGAGCATGTGGTTTTGGTACACTTTGCATCCACTGGGGCAGATGTACCACAGCCCACTTTTTATTACCCTCCCACATGGACTTTCTTGCGGGCTTATAAATAGTCAGGCTGAGGCTTTCAACAAGCTCATAAGCATGGCGCCCTTATGTATGTGATTTTTTTTTTAAAGTCTCCCTGCTGTCCTTATTCACAAATTGAGCCAGTAGCAGCCATGGATTATAAGGATGGCCTGAAGCACCTTCTGAGCTATTAGAAAAGGGAACACCTAAGGGAAATAAATGTGCCTGGCTTGGCTGAATGTGCTATGAAAAGGGGTCTGATGCTATTAAAATCAGGATTATGTTAAATTATTTTAAACCTGCATACTCCCCAAAAGGAACTGAGACAGCCAAATTAAGATATTTCATGGGTCCTACAACCAGCCTGGCAGAGAGTGGCAGAGCTGGTATGTGATAGCAAACTATGCTTTCTGTCTTCTGTTAATATATTAAAATGCACTCATTTAAACTACAGATAACACATGAAATGTGCAGTTAATATTTAATTGGAACCAAAATATGAACACTTTGGTCTTTTAAAGGGAAGAACAGCCAATGCTCCCTTGTCTAGGGCCTGCACTTAGAGCTTTAGGGCAGAGGCTGCATGCACGCACACCAGAGAGTACCTTTGAATCCTGGGCAAGTTCACCATGTGTAGATGGCCCAGCGCTGGTACACCAGGGTGGTAACTTAGGACCTTGAGGGAGCAAACTATCAAGGTCCCCTCATAGGGAACAAGGTGGGATGCAGACAGAATTAATTGGGATTTATCATAGGCCTTAAAAATTGGTTAAATCATTTTAGATTTCCCCTGCTGAATAAACTTCTGTTTGGATGGAAAATAGTTTACTATTGCAAGGGTACTAAATTGTATCTTGCTGTCCTCCTGGTTCCTAAATTATTACACCTTTCAAAATATACCCTTAAAAATAAGCTGATCTAAGCTGGGCCAAGTGGTGCATGCCTGTAGTTTCAGCTACTCAAGAGACTGAGGTGGGAAGATCGCTTGAGCTTGGGAGTTTGAGACCAACCTGGGCAACACAGCAAGACTCTGTGTCAAAAAAAAAAAAACCATATCTGTTTATTCTTACTTGGTAAATTGCTCGTGCTTATATATGGGAGGGATCTGCAGAGGGCTGCTAGTCTATGTTTCCAGTTTTGTTGTTATAAAGGTACAAAGTACTCTTTACAGACTTTAAAATTCACAGCCACCTTGTGAGTTAAGGATTAGTCCATTTTACAGGTGAGGAATCATACTTAAAAACCTTTTCTAAGATCACTCAGCTCATAGAGGGCAGAGCCTGCATTCAACCCTCTCAGCTATTAACTGATTCACTTCTTTTTTTTGTTTGTTTGTTTTTTGAGACAGAGTCTCACTCTTGCCCGGGCTAGAGTGAGTGCCATGGCGTCAGCCTAGCTCACAGC